GTCGCATGTGCCAAATTCCATCCCATTTGGTCAAATATTAGACGTACGTGGAGTACAATAAAAGGTAAATCGGACGAAGTTATATATGGGAGCTATATCCAAATCTGAACCGATCTCGATAACATTTAGCAAAGGTATTTCTGAGCTCCATTTGATATATTTCCCCAAATATTGTTGTTACAGAATGCATATTACGGCTGCGGAGGATAAAAATAACAAATCGGATGAACAGTATATATGGGAGCTATAGCTATATCTCAACTGATTTCGATCAAATTTAGCATACTTATTTTAAGACCGAATTTGGTCGTATGTGCAAAATTCCATACAATTCTGGCTGATATTACACGTTTGGTGCACAATAAAAGGCAAATCGGACGAAGATATATATGGGGGCTATATCTAAATTTTGACCGATTATCTCCAATTTCAATAGGGTTCGTCCTTGGGCCAAACAAATGATCTGTGCAAAATTTCATCTTGATAGGGCGAGAAATGCGATCTGTACTTTGTTTGCAAAAATTCATGGACAGACGGACGGACATGCATAAATCGACTCAGAATGTGATTCTATGCAAATCATCAAAAGGAACTATGGCAAAGGATGAATTAAAAATTAAAAAAAAAAAATGATTTAATAATTTTACATATAATAATTTTGTTGTTGCAAATTATTTGGGTTATAATAAAAAATATGTTAGTTATAATAATTTTAATATTTCCCTGAGCTTTTAGGAATAACCTATCTTTAGCTCTTTATAGTTTGCTTTTAAAATACATTATCCAAAATGTCATAAGCCATAACAAGATTCAAATGTAAAACTTGAAGAAAAAATTGGTGAATAATGTAGCTAAAATTATTAAAATACCGAATATAAGGAGGTACTATTATATGGGAGCTATACGAAGGCGTGGGCATGCACGGACAATTTTCTGTCGTAGGCTGTAGTATCCATTAGGAACTTCAAATACGAAATTTGAAACGATTCCGATGAATAATGTCGTAAAATCATCAAAATACCGAATATCGGAAGGTGCCGTTGTATGGGGGCTATACGAAGACGTGGACCTGCATGTCCTATTTTCAATAGCAAAAGTCCTGCGGACATAATATATAATATACAAATACATTAAATATATAAAAAAAGCCAAGGATTTGAAATCTTTGCATGGGGATTTTGTAGATAACATAAACATAAAGAAAATTATATTTTATGAGCTTTTACAAGGTTATTTTTTGTATATTTATTTAATTTATATATGTATGATATTTAATGGTTGTAATATCCTCCAGTGAAACTCCACAAACACATTTTATTACCTTTAAATTAAATAAGTGGTTGACCCACATTTATAACGGGACTCTGTTTGGCAAGATCTTTTATCTCAACACACACAGTATGCAAATACTTGCATACACATTTATTTACAGATCTTTGTCAATGCAAATTTACATACATATGTATGTAAATGTCAATATTGGCAACAACAAATAAATAAATTATCGCTGAATATATTATTTTATAATTTGCTTTTTTTTTCCAAACAAAGCAAGGTATTTTTACATTATTGTTGGTAAAATAAAAATTTCGTCATTTCTGGAGATGACAAAAATTTCCATTCAACTTTTTCACTTTCAGTTGGTTGATTTTTATTTTTTTTAGAATTTCCTTTAATGTTATTAACCAATTCAATATGCTTTGTTGTCGTTGTTTTCGAATTAAATTTCGAGATTTCTGCTTAATTTTTGTTTAACATAAAATGCCGTTTTTGGACTTTTAATGATATAACAGTTTGATGGAAAGTTTCGCCCAATACTTTGGGAACATGTTTATTTATACGACTTGCTTAATCTTTCCTATATTCAACCTATCTTAACTCTAAAGTTAACTACTACAGGGTGAGATAAAAAAAACTGCAACAAAGTCAAACTCCACAATTTTTACATTTTTTTTAAATATTATTGAATTAAAGCAAAAAATGTCGGAAATAGCATCAAAATTTAGAATAAGTTAGATTTGTTCGAATTTGTCACCTTTGGCACGAATTGTGGCCTTCAAACGGCCAATGAAACCGTCACACGTTGTATAATGTTGCTCTGCGGACTGGTATCCGGAGATTTTGGTGGCCATTGTGCTCTGGAAATGAAGTGTAGAACCTCATTTTGTAATCACTTTTGGGTGGCGTGTGCTGAGTCCTGTTGGAATGTCCAAGGGCTGCGGCCAAAATGTTTGCGTGCCCAAGACTTTAATACACTCTCCAGAATATTTTCGCCATAATATTCGGCATTTATTCTGATGCGACTGTCGAATTATACGAGCAAAATGCGACCATCGGTTGCTATGGCGGGTAACACAATCACCATGGCCGGCGCTTGATTCCTGGTGGCCAACCGAAGGTGCACATTTTCAACTGACCTCTTTGGCAAGTAAACACGATCATTTTGTTTGTTTACAAACTTCTGGACAACGAATGTTTTCTCATCGGAGAAAACCAAATTCGGCAGATCACCACTTTCGGCCAAGCAAAGGAACTCTTTAGCTCTCTTGAGTATATTTTCTTTCCGTTGCAAGTTCTTGCACTTTTTAGAATTTCAATGGCTTTACCCCAAGCTCATTTTTCAATATTTGCCGAATGGAATATTGCGATATGTTCAGCTCACGTGCCATTTTTCGGCCACTGCGATGCTGATTTTGATCAAGTCGCTTCTTTACTTTTCGATCCATTTCTGCGGATGTTGCTGTTTTCTTCCGTCCACTTCCTTGACGTCGGGCTACGCTACCAGCATCACGAATAATTTTTTTCTGGAAAATTCTTACCAAAATGGAATAACTGGAATAATTTTAACAGCTGTTCGACAAGTGGCTTGGAAATGACAGCAGTTTGAAGTTGGTTGCAGTTTCTTCATCTCACCCTGTACTTGGGAACAATGTTAATTTACACGACTTGTTCAAGTATTTTTTTATTAGGTTTGTAAGGATTGTTCTTGCAGTAAAGTACAATTTAAATTTAAACTAAAAACTTACCTATTCTAAACTATATTAACTTTAAAGTTAACTACTACACCACTATTTATTTGTTATTATTAGATCCCAATATCAAAAGAAAATATTTTTCTATTTATTTTTAAAACATTGAAACTAAAAAAATATCAGTGAGGCAACTAAATACTACGCCTGCTCCCACCGATAAAAATATAGAAATCACTTGAGTGATTAACGTTCCCCATGCACCTGATATAGTTTTAAAAATAATTAACGATTTACGACTCTCATAAAGATTTCATTGCACTCGGGTAGATTTATGAAGAACTGAGGTTTAGTAGTCAGTCCAAATACGCAGTAATAAATGTTCAATTGCGAATTGATTTTTATGGTGCGTTTTTTCAGAGAGAACTATAGGAAAACGTTTAAGTTTATCAAGGAGAACAGTGTTGGCATGTTTTTTTCGAGGAGGATATTAGTAAAACCATTTTTTTCTGTCTAAAACTATTTCAACGTCTCCGTACTTAAACCAATCTCAGATATCAACATATACCTAATTATCAAAATTCAGAACTCCATTCACCCAATACCAAATTTAGTACCATTTAGTACTCTTCGTACAATTACAGTACCCATTTCCAATACCACATCCATGTCTCAATCCCAGATACTAACAGAGACCTAAATATCAAAATTCGGAAATCCAACTCCATACATTCACTCAATACCCAATTTAGTAACATTTAGTATTTTTAGTATCATTTTAGTAGCCATTTGCAAAACCATTACATATCTCATTCCTAGACACCAACAGTTAACGCAACATAATATTTCAGGGTTTCACCGCTATCCCTTCACCCAATATTCTATTTAGTACACTTAGTACTTTTGGTATATTAATGGGACACATTTTCAAGACCACCTGCATATCCTAATCGCAGACACCAACATCTACCAATACCAAATTTAGTACTTTTCGTAAAAAATAGTACATATTTCCAAGCCCCCGCCAAATTTCATTAGTAATGTAAATAACAAATTTCAGAATTTTATCGATCCCTTCAGCCAATACTAAATATAGTACCATTTAGTACTTTTCGTACAATTATAGTGCTCATATCTGGAACCTCTTCCATATGTCCAGGCAACACATGAAATACCAACTTTTAGATTTAAAGCTCTATCTGTTCACCCAATACTAAATTGTACCAAATATAGTACTATTTAGTACTTTTCGCGCACTTTTTTCAAAACCACCTATTTATCACAACCCAAACAATAACAGGCAAAAAATACAAAATTTCTCCATCCGTTCACCCTAAACACATCTGTTCCAAATTTAGTACCATTAAGTACAAATCGCACACATTGTACACATTGCCAAAACAACCTTCATATATCAAACTTACTTTTCAACATTAATTATCAGATCAAATTTCACGTTTTTAGCTCTATTCCAAATTGTAACAAATATAGTACTTTTTAGCACTTTTCGTACACTTGTAGTACCCATTTCCAAAACCTCTACTTTATTACAAACCAACTACTAACAGGGACCCCAAAACAAAAATTTTAAAATTCCAACTTCATCTGTTCACCCTTAAACCGACTCTTCCAAATCTAGTACCATTTAGTACCGTATGTACACTTAGTACACATATCCAAAACCACTTTCACATATGCGAGTTTTCAAAAACCCTTTGGTTCATCTATCCTGCACACCATCAGTGACTCTATTTCCAATTTTCAGAATTCTACCTCATTCCATTTGTCCAATTTAATTTTAAGTACGTGTTAATACTTTTCGTACTCTTTTAGTACGAATTTCCAAGAACACAGTATTATCACCAGCCTACGTACCAAGACCTGATAGTTGTTAGCCATGTTTTAAAAAAAGAACCAAAAAGATCTCTTTGAGGATTTGCTTGAGGGTTACAAATTTTCGACTAAACTAGTCTTCATATTGTGTTCTGTAATTTTTTTAATACCTAACTAAATTCTCATTCTACATTTCAGGTATTTTATGTTCATCCTATGTTTGGGGCTATCTGTGCGATATGTATGGACGCAAGCCGATTTTAATGTATACCACCCTGATTGGTAATGTGGTGTCACTGCTCTCGATATTCGTTCCCTATTTTTGGCTGTTTGTTTTTCTGCGATTCGTTGTGGGAATATTGTGAGTAAATTCAAATTTCAACAATAATAATGAAACTTATAAATAAAATTCTGAATTCAATTTTTAGTATTGCTGGCGCCTCTTCAACCACCTACGCCTATTTGGGTGAATTCGTATCGATACGCCACCGCCCAGTTGTGATCAATTTCACCAGTATGTTTGTGGCACTGGCAATGACCTATGTCCCTGCAATCGCCTGGCTGGTACTATCAATGGATTGGTCTTTCGATATATCCGATAGTTTTGCATTTCGTCCATGGCGTTTGCTGACTGTCTTCAATATTTTACCGGGTTTCATTGCCATTCTGATTATGTCAAAGCTACCAGATAGTCCGAGAATTTTGATGTCCATTCGAAAACAGGAGGAAGCATTTGCTGCCACAAACTGGATTGCTAAATTGAATACGGGCAAGACATTGGCTGATTTTAATATCTATAAAATCTACGATGAAAACCCGACGGAAAGTGATAAGCTGATACAGACATCGAAGTCATTGTGAGTGGTAGAGGAACAATAATTGGAAATTTATAAATTATTAATTTTTTGTATTTTATTTTCCAGTGTCCAGATAATGAAACAAATGTGGATCGACACCAAGCCCTTGTTCAAGAAACCCCATTTGGTGAACTTCGTCACATGCTGTATTGTAATGTGCGGGGTATTTTTTGTGTAAGTATATGATTAGAAATGTAAAAATAGTATTCAAAGCTTTCAATAGAAGACATATCACGGGTCATGTATGGATGGAAGATCTTCTATAGTCCTTCCAAAGGGTCTTCTCGAGATAGAATATTTTTTCCTAGATAGGAGACCTTTCAAACAACCTCTAAAGGAATAGGTCTTCTCTGGATAGAACATATTTAATAGGTCCTCGAGGTGCAAAACGTCTTAGCAAGCCTTTTTATACCCTCCACCTTGGAAGGAGTGTATATTATCTTTGTCATTCCGTTTCTAACATCCCTAAATATTCATCGTGACCCCATAAAGTATATATATTCCTAATCAGCATAAAATTCTAAGCCGATTTCCGTCTGTCTGTCTGTTGAAATCACGATACAGCTCACGTTATATGACGTTGAGCGTCAAAATTTAGCAGAACAATTTGTATTGTGTCTAGAATTGTTGGTATTGAAAATGAGATATATCGGTCCACGTTTTGGTATAGTCCCCATAAAACGGTACCTTCTGATATTTGGTATTTTGATGATTTTTGACACATTTTATCACAGATTTGTCTAAAAATTGGTATCTGTTGGTTAAAATGGGTTCTAGCTCTGGGGGCGAAACATTGTATGTATAGGTCCGCGCTTTGGTATAGCTCCCGATATTCGGTATTTTGATGATTTTTGCCACATTTTTTCACGGATTTGTCCGAAAATTGGTCTTAGTAGGTCCTAATGGGTTCCAATGTTTCCTTTACCCTAAGGTGGAGGGTATTAAAAGTTAGAGATGTAAGTCTTTTCGCAGGACTCTTATTAAAAAAAATAAAAAGGGTCCTAGTTCGTGTGGGGAAACATTGTATGTATAGTTCCACGTTTTTGTATAGCCCCATATTCAGTATTTTGATGATTTTTGCCACATTTTCCCATGAATATGTCTAAAAATCGGTATTAGTAGGTCCTAATGGGTTCCAATGCTTCCTTTACCCTAAGGTGGAGGGTATTAAAAGTTAGAGATGTAAGTCTTTTCTCAGGACTCTTATTAAAAAAATAAAACCTTTCACGCACCTTCACGTTATCCATTCGTTTCTCTTCTTTCCAGAAATTCCGGCATGGGTCTTTGGTATCCAACAATTCAAAATCGTTTAGGTTCCGTAGATGATGAAACACAGATGAGTATCTGCCAAGTTATTGATGCCTCGATGGAACAGCAGAATTCTAATTCAACAGATTATGTGAGTATTTTTGCTTCTGGACAGTTTCAAAATAAGGAATGAGGAGAAACTCAAATATCGAGAATTGTTTCTCTACTTCTATAAATTATTTCATAAATTTAAATCATTTTTAAATGTCTCTCTCTTTTCTGATTAGGTTTGTGATGACACTATAACAAGAAAATCCTACATCGATTCAATAACATTTGGTTTGGTCTATTTGGGTGCTTACTTTGTGTTGGGTTTCATAATTAATCCCTTGGGCCGTAAACGTACCATTATCCTGCTATTGACGGTATCTGCCATTTGTGGCATTGTTTTGCATTGGATAATGGAACCCATTGCAATTGTAGCATGTTTCATTCTGTTTGTAATGCTGCCGGGACTGTGTGTGTCAATATTGAGTGGAGCTGTGGTGGATTTGGTTCCCACACATTTGAGGTGAGTAAAAGTCATTAAAATTTGTTAAAAAAGTGTCGATTACAACTTAGTTGGAACTTAAAAAATTATTTAAAAAATACACGTTTATAGGTTAGGTGGAGCTTGGAAAAAAATTATTTAAAAGATCCACGTTTATAGGTTAGGTGGAGCTTGGAAAAAAATTATTTAAAAGATCCACGTTTATAGGTTAGGTGGAGCTTGGAAAAAAATTATTTAAAATATCCACGTTTATAGCTTAGGTGGAGCTTGGAAAAAATTATTTAAAAAAATCCACGTTTATAGCTTATTTAGAGCTTGGAAAAAATTATTTAAAAAATCCACGTATATAGCTTATTTAGAGCTTGGAAAAAATTATTTAAAAAATCCACGTATATAGCTTAGGTGGAGCTTAGAATTTTTTTTTAAAATCCACGTTTATATCTTGGATGGAGCTTAGAAAAAACTATTTAAAAAATCCACGTTTATAGCTTAAGTGGAGCTTGGAAAAAATTATTTAAAAATCCACGTTTATAGGTGGAGCTTGGAAAAAATTATTTAAAAATCCACGTTTATAGGTGGAGCTTGGAAAAAATTATTTAAAAATCCACGTTTATAGGTGGAGCTTGGAAAAAATTATTTAAAAATCCACGTTTATAGGTGGAGCTTGGAAAAAATTATTTAAAAATCCACGTTTATAGGTGGAGCTTGGAAAAAATTATTTAAAAATCCACGTTTATAGGTGGAGCTTGGAAAAAATTATTTAAAAATCCACGTTTATAGGTGGAGCTTGGAAAAAATTATTTAAAAATCCACGTTTATAGGTGGAGCTTGGAAAAAATTATTTAAAAATCCACGTTTATAGGTGGAGCTTGGAAAAAATTATTTAAAAATCCACGCTTATAGGTGGAGCTTGGAAAAAATTATTTAAAAATCCACGTTTATAGGTGGAGCTTGGAAAAAATTATTTAAAAATCCACGTTTATAGGTGGAGCTTGGAAAAAATTATTTAAAAATCCACGTTTATAGGTGGAGCTTGAAAATTATTTAAAAATCCACGTTTAGAGGTTAGGTGGAGCTTGGAAAAATTTATTTAAAAAAATCCACGTTTAGAGGTTAGGTGGAGCCATGTTTAGAGGTTAGGTGGAGCTTGGAAAAATTATTTAAAAATCCACGTTTAGAGGTTAGGTGGAGCTTGGAAAAATTTATTTAAAAAAATCCACGTTTAGAGGTTAGGTGGAGCCATGTTTAGAGGTTAGGTGGAGCTTGGAAAAATTATTTAAAAATCCACGTTTAGAGGTTAGGTGGAGCTTGGAAAAATTTATTTAAAAAAATCCACGTTTAGAGGTTAGGTGGAGCCATGTTTAGAGGTTAGGTGGAGCTTGGAAAAATTATTTAAAAATCCACGTTTAGAGGTTAGGTGGAGCTTGGAAAAATTTATTTAAAAAAATCCACGTTTAGAGGTTAGGTGGAGCTTGGAAAAATTATTTAAAAATCCACGTTTAGAGGTTAGGTGGAGCTTGGAAAAATTTATTAAAAAAAATCCACGTTTAGAGGTTAGGTGGAGCTTGGAAAAATTTATTAAAAAAAATCCACGTTTAGAGGTTAGGTGGAGCTTGGAAAAATTATTTAAAAATCCACGTTTAGAGGTTAGGTGGAGCTTGGAAAAATTTATTTAAAAAAATCCACGTTTAGAGGTTAGGTGGAGCTTGGAAAAATTATTTAAAAATCCACGTTTAGAGGTATGGTGGAGCTTGGAATTTTTTTTTTTAAATCCACGTTTAGAGGTTATGTGGAGCATGGAAAAAATTATTTAAAAATCCACGTTCATAGCTTAGGTGGAGCCTGGAAAAAAATATTTAAAAAATCCACGTTTAGAGGTTAGGTAGAGCTTGGAAAAAAATATTAAAAAAATCCACGTTCATAGTTTAGGTCAAGCTTGGAAAAAAATATTTAAAAAATCCACGTTTATAGCTGTGGTGAGGCTTGGAAAAAATATTTAAAAAATCCGCGTTCATAGTTTAGGTTAATCTTGCAAAAATTATTTAAAAAACCCACGTTTATAGCTCAGGTGGAGCTTGGAAAAAAATATTAAAAAAATCCACGTTTATAGGTTAGGTGTAGCTTGGAAAAAAATATTAAAAAAATCCACGTTTATAGGTTAGGTGTAGCTTGGAAAAAAATATTAAAAAAATCCACGTTTATAGGTTAGGTGTAGCTTGGAAAAAAATATTAAAAAAATCCACGTTTATAGGTTAGGTGTAGCTTGGAAAAAAAATATTAAAAAAATCCACATTTATAGGTTAGGTGGAGCTTGGAAAAAAATATTAAAAAAATCCACGTTTATAGCTTAGGTGTAGCTTGGAAAAAATTATTTAAAAAATCCACGTTTATAGCTTAGGTGTAGCTTGGAAAAAAATGATTTAAAAAATCCACGTTTATAGCTCAGGTGGAGCTTGGAAAAAAATATTAAAAAAATCCACGTTTATAGCTTAGGTGTAGCTTGGAAAAAATTATTTTAAAAATCCAAGTTTATAGCTTAGGTGGAGCTTGGAAAAAATTATTTAAAAAATCCAAGTTTATAGCTTAGGTGGTGCTTGGAAAAATTATTTGAAAAATCCTCGTTTAAAGCTTAGGTGGAGCTTGGAAAAGAATATTTAAAAAAATCACGTTTAGAGGTTAGGTGGAGCATGGAAAAAATTATTTTAATAAATCCACGTTTATAGCTTAGTGGGAGGTTGGAAAAACTTATTTCAAAAAATCCATGTTTATAGGTTAGGTGGAGCTTGGAGAAAATTATTTAAAAAAATCCACGTTTATAGCTAGGGTGGAGCTTGGAAACATTTATTTAAGAACTCATGGAAATTTTAACCATCTTTTGAAAAAAGAAAAAAAAAAGCTTGGTTACTCGCTTGAGGTTTAAAATTTTTGACCAAAATAATAAAGGGAGGAATCCTAATTCAAAAAAAAATATCAAAAAACAGTGAAAGAGGGGGAACTTAGCAATTTGGCTTTTTATGTTACTTTGCGATATAAACGCGTCTTCTATTGTTACCTCTACTTTTAAAATGCAGTTAATTGTAAATGGTATTATTCTAAAATATATATATTTTTTTCAGAGGGAAAGCCGTATGCATTTGCCTGATGTTGGGACGCTCTGGTAGCGTTATTGGCAGCAATATTATTGGTGTACTGCTGGAGTCATATTGCAGCATAACATTTGGGGTGTTTTATGCCCTCGTCTTGGGTAAGATTGAGTTATATAATAATTTCAATTTCCAAATTCATATAATTATTTAATTTATTATTTCAGTCTGTGCTGGCTTGACCTTACTGTTACCCATCTAAAAATATGTGATTCAAGACTGTAAAATGGAGTTGAAATTGGTCCAGAGCATCGAACCATTTTTGCCATTTTCACGACTTTAGTTTTAATAATAGTTCTAAGGAAGTGTTCAAATAATTTTTATATTTTAAAATTAAGCCTGATTTAATTTTAAGATTTATTGGAATAAGTGTGGTGAAAATTGAAGTTGGAATAATGTAAAGGAAGAAGATTGAAATTCATAAAAATGAAATGAGATATATTTTAAAAAAATTAAGACTATTTTCGTTTGTATAAATTTTAATCTTCTTCTTTTATAATCTTAAATAAATTGGCAGATTTAATACGTCAGTTGTAGTCAGTATTAGGCCAATTTAACATTTTTATAACAAAATCAAATCAACTTATTATTTTACGTTAAATAAGCTGGATTTTATATCTGTTACAGAATTTCTATGATATTTGTTAGTTAGCTCTAATTTTAAAATTAGGAACTTCCCATGAAGTCCCTATATATTTGCTGTTTCAGAACTGCAAAAATGTAAAAAATTGTACAACCATAATCGATTTCCCCTTTATCATATCGAAAAAAATTCCAAATATAGTTGATTCTTGCAGGTTGTGAAAAAGAGGAAATGTGTTATCTTAACTTAATACTGGATTTATATTGAAAGTTTTAATATTAGGTTTGTATAATTGTTTGTCCTCCCCTTAGTAATAAGTTAACACAAGTACTTATCTTTTGTATATTATTTTCGAATTTTTATTTTATTTTCTTTTTTTTATTATTTTCCAATATAAGTTGCTCCATAGTTTTACAATGAAAATTCAGTGTTAAACTGTTACTTCAAAATAAATATTCAAAATACATTTAGTAATAATAATAGTAATATTAATGTTTGCTTCGTTTCCATTGCATTATTTACAGGTGAGATATTTATTTTTGTTTTATTTATTTTTTTTTTTTGGAAAGACGTATATATGTATGTAGTAGCTTCGTGTGTGGTCACTAAGGGGGGAGATATGTAGTTGTTGCTTAATTCGCATTTCCTTTTTGAATATTTAGAAGGGCTCTTCCGCATTGGACATATCCAAGGGATGGCCCATTAATTCACCATCGTTGGTGAAGTGATTTCTCAACATTTGGATCAGGGGCATTCTCTTGCCGAACCTAAAATATAGAATGAATTTTAATGAATTTTTTGAAAGAATTTGCAAAAATCAAAATTTTTGAATTTATATTTGAAATATATAAGTCGAGATAAAAATAAATGATAAGTCGAGACATAAATAGAAATAAGTCGAGATATAAATGTAAGTTAGGTGTATAGAAGGTATGTATGATATGCAAATAATTTGTATCAATTTCTATAAATTATTACTGGATGTTGTAATGTTGGATGCTTTAAAGTCAAGTAAACGGAGGAAATTGTCACTGTCAATTTATATAATTATTATTTACTGAGATTATCCACATTTTTGTTGAGAAAATGTAATCAGCAAAAATTATCAAGTTATCAAACCGACCTAGTATGTGTATTATGTATTAGTGTCCTGTAATTGTTTAACTCACCTGACACGTGCCCTATCACCATAGTAGGTATCCAAATCCTGCAAATATTTCATGGCATCGGCCATATTCGATATGTCATTGTTGCGAGGAGGTCTGGAATTGTTGGCACTGACATTGGCTGTCAACAAAGCAACGACGGCGACCAAAATGAGTACTTGACGAACGGATGAGACCATTTTTGAGCTGGAAATGAAGGAAAAAAAGAAATTTAAAAGGTTTGCAGACATAATTCGATCAAAATATTGAAGTAATATTTAGAGTTACATGAATTTTATTCGGAATAAGTATAGCTTGTAAATTAACATATTTTTACCCAGGGAATCATGAATATTAAAAAAGAATGACTGTAGAAACATTTCGTATCAATTTAAATATGAAGATTTTAATTATACCCTACAGCACTATGTGTTGGGGGTATTATAAGTTTGATTGGGCCAAAAATTATGTAACATCTCTAAATATTTTTTTCCCACATATCTCGCCGAGCTGGGACGATCTAGCCATGTATGTCCGCCCGTCCGTCTGTCCATGTTAATTTGTAATCACGCTACAGGTCGCAATTATTGTCCGATCTTCACGAAATTTAGAATGGAGGTGGCGCTAGGCCCAGAATATAAGCCTATGCTTTTGGATATGATCGCATAATATTTAGGAGTTTTAATGGACCAAAAACTAAAAAATTTCCTGATTTTGCAGTTGCTCTACAGGTCGCAATTATGGACCAATCGAGGCGGAAGTTAGCATGGGGCTAGAGCTTTGGGCTGGGCCGAAGCCTTTCAATTTGGATGGTCATGGGGTAATATTTAGTGGATGAAATAGACCATAACATTTGTGTTAAAAAAAATTCAAATTTTCCATTAAACTGCGAATAGTTTTAATCCCGGCAAAATCACAAATAGACGAAAAGGGCAATTCTGAGCGTTACGTAGATGCCGATAGTGAATATATCGGATATATATAGCGAAATATGTACAATATGTATATACAAAGGAAGGGGATGTTAGTTAGAATGCTTATATCTCAAGAACGGCTGGACCGATTTTGACAAATTTTGTCAAATAAATGTATAAAATCTAAAAAAATCGCATAAAAAGATGCCAATAATGAAGTTAATATAGATTTTGTAGTATTTTGTGACATTTTTTATCGCAAGCGATTTTTTCAATTTGACTTATAATATTGAAGTGTATATTTTGTAATATTTTCGTTCGATCCTCCGATCTATTGTTTTTAAAGATGTCCGCAATATATTTAGAGGTTGAAAAGCACCAACAACTAAAAATGTTCCTGATTTTGCAGCCGTTATAAAGGTCACAAATAGAAGCTCAAGGACACGAAATCTCGCATGAAGTTAGAGTTTAAGAGAGCGGACGAATATTAGTCAAGTTTGATAAAAATATTAACCTTTAACTGTCGTGGTGAAAATTTTGGATTTAATTTTTGATGTGGTGGTAATTTATGCCTGTGTTAGTTTTACTAAAAAATGTTGTAATTTTTTGATAGTTTTCTCAATTTTTTTTAAAAATTTAAATTTGTGAAAAATGGAACTCCCGTGAAATTGGCTTGTTTAGATCAGTGATTTTCTTGCTGAATAAAATGTTTTAATATTTTTCTCTCGGAAGATACAAAGAAGTTTTACTAGAAAAGTTATCAACAAGTAATCTGAAACCCTAGAAAATAAAGTAAGAAATAAGATATTTTTATGTTTTACAACTTCTATTTAATAACCGTTCCCGAAAAAAAATTAATAAAACTCGAGAACATATTAAAGTGAACATTGACAAACATTAAAAACTTCTAACTTCGATAAATTTGGCATAGCATGATTTCAACAAAATAGCAGGGAACCGAACAAATAATATTGATAATTTAACTCAGGCTCACGTTCTGTTCGAATAGTATTCCAATATCTCAAATACTTTCGAAGAGAGTTTATTTGAAATGCTCTCTTTTTCCACAAATCTTATTTTTCTGTGCGGCAAACTGCCCATTTGAACGTTATATTTAAATTTTATTCTAATACCTTCTGACAAAAGAGAATTAGGTATAATATTTTAGTGAGACGATTTGCCCATCCTTCAAAAATGTCATTCTTTTAAATTTTGTCCTAATCTAGTGAAGTTTGTTTCTTTTTGTTGGGATTTTATGGCATTTCACATTAACTCAGCAAGAATGTACATGATTTAAAGCATACTTTTAGGCGAAGTCTGAACAAACGATTGTGATTAGCGTTGCCAACCAAATAAACTGTACAAAGAACTGATTTAGATGCCACATAATAAAATGTTGATCAGAGATCAAAGAATATTTACGTTGAACTTTAAAAATAATTCGGAACGGATAATATTTGGTGGACTTTTACACAATGACACTATCCCAGAGATAAAATGGTGCTAACAAATTTAAGGCAATTAACATAACCTTGAAGGGTAAAAATTTTATCATAATATTGGGGTATATAAAATTTGTAATTCCGTTTGTTATAGTTGTATACTGTAAATAATAATTGTATATGTTTATGTTTGGATTTTGATGAGTAGGAAATGTGTCGAAAGGTATGTTAATATGGGTTTCTCCTTGTAAAGGATTGTCAGGAAGGTCCAAGTTTTGGGTATGGCAAGGATCATTTTTAAAGAGACCTCTCGGTTTCAGATGTATTCGAAACAAATAAATTCATATCCTTGGTTTTGTGTAATATACGTGTTTTTGAAAGAGCCACACTTTTATTGGGATACCGTAGAACGGTTTCGCCAGAGTTTAAATATCTTGAAAGGTTTCCATGTTTTATTTTCAAAAATTCTTTTCTTAATGAAAAAAGAAGACAATTTTTAAAAAATAGGTGATTGAGGATTCAGGGGTGGATTTTCAAAATATATTTAGTGTATTTGTTAGATGACCTAATTTTGAAAAGGACTACTGATGCAATGAAGATTGTATCTTCGAATGATAAAACTTACCACATATTAGTGGCAATTGAAATCGAATTAGTTTTTTCTCAAATATTTTCGGATTCAAATACTGCATTTCCACAAAATATCAAGGAATACATTTTAAATTAATGTTATTTTGCAAAAAAATCTAATATTCACATTTCACTAATCAATATTTACCTTTTGTTTGTGTGTGTTTGTTGGGGTTTGATGAAAAAATAATCTTCACTTATCACAACTGAGTATCAATAAACTCCGCTGATTTTCGTTCGATTCTTATTTGCTTTGATTTCAAAAAAATCACCGTTATTATTGTTCTTATCACTTCACTTGACTTGGCTGACGATGCACTCTGTTTGACCTGTTGAGTGGTAATGTGCTCTTTCACCACAAAAGAGCATCCTTTTATACAAAACCACAAAAGCGACATAGAGCGTCACAGTGATAACTCCCCGACTACCGTTGTGACAGATTAGTATGTTAATGTAGATGATGATGATAAAAAACAAAACAACAACAGCAACGACAAAAAACTGTCACTGAAACCCGAAAAGTTTTGAGTTTAACAACGAACAAATTTGTTCGTTTGTCTATCGCTGTGTGCGTGTGTGTGTGTGGGTTTGTTTGAAGCCTTCAAATTAATCATACCTGTTGTGTGTTGGCATTAAATAGACTATCAAATATCCTCGTTCGGTTCGCTATGCTCGTTCCTTTGTTCTTCTAATCATTGTTTATTCATTTATTTCATTGGGTGAATCCGATTGCGCCGAGCACAAACAAATGTGAATTAGGTGGGATTTTTTTACGAAAAAAAGTTAAGAATTCTTTTTGAACTGATTTATTTCATAATGACAGTAAAGGTGGGGAATGTGTAAAACAAGAATGGAATAGAGTTCGAACTTTTTAATAAAAAAATAATCATACACAAAAATTAAGAAGTGGGTATAATAAGTCAGAAAATTGGCAGATTATCAATCCGTATCATTTATTAGAATGCATACGTGAATTGTATAGAAATTTTTGAGTGTACGAAAAGGATTAAAAATTAGAATTCGCAATTTAAGACAACCAATAATTTTTATACCCTACACCACATAGTGGTAAGGGCATTATGTCTTTGTGCATTTGTTTGTAACATGGAGAAGCAAGCGAGATAGACCCATAGTAACTTTTGAGGATCTCCATAAAATCACTTTCTGACTTGATTTATGCATGTCAGTCCGTCAGTCCGTCAGTCCGTCCGTCCGTCTGTCCATGTATTCTTGTGAACAAAATGCAGGTCGCATTTATTATCCGATTGAGATGAAAGTTTGCAAACAACATTTGTTTGGCCTAAGGGCGAACCCTATTGATATTGGAGATAATCGTAAAAATTTAGATATAGCTCCCATTTATATCTTCGTCCGATTTGCTTTTTTTGTGCACCAAACGTGTCATATCAGCCCGAATAGTATGGTATTTTGCACATACAACCAAATTAGGCCTGGAAATAAGTATGCTAAATTTGATCGAAATCGGTTCAGATATAGCTATAGCTCCAATATATATTGTTCATCCGATTTGCTATTTTTGTCCTCCGCAGCCGTAATATGCACTCTGTAACAACAATATTTGGGTAAATATATCAAATGCAGCTAAATTTTATCGAGATTGGTTCAGATTTAGATATAGCTCCCATATATAACTTCGTCCGATTTATCTTTTATTGTCTAATATTTGTCAAAATGGGATGGAATTTGGTACATACGACCAAATTGAGACTAGAAGATATTATGCCAAATTTGGCAAAGATCGGTTCAGATATAGGATATAGCTCTCATATATATCTTTATCTGATTTCAAATTATTTTGCACCAAATGGGCAATACAAGTCGAATTTAAAAGATACAAATCCTTCGGCATATTTAGTCCTTTGAACTTTAAATTATATATACAATCATCGCGTGTATGATTGAATCCTCCAAAAAAAAAAAAAACTTTTAATTGTTATGTGAAGCTCCACTAAATTAGCAAAGTGGTGTAGGGTATCATAAAATCGGCCACCACCGACTTTATGACTTTCTTTACTGGTTTAATTATATAAAATGTCGCAAAGATGCTACAAAAAGTGCAAAAAAACTCAAAGTGGTGCGGCACGGGTTTTAAGCGACCTTTATGAGTCAGAGTCTTAACATTTTCTATAAGGAACACGATTTTTGCGAATGGGTAAAAAAGTATTATCTTGTACTATAATTATATTGAGTGTACTTTAATTTTGCATAAAGTACCATACTATATCTCTATAGAGAACAAGAGCCAAAACGTTGACATTTTGCATAAGTGAAAATCTTGATGCAGGGAGAGAAATCCAAAGAGAACAAAAACTTTTTATTGAGCAAAAAGGTCGAAAGTCGGAATATTGGGAAATTTTACTTTAAAGGAACAAAAATTATAAAAAATTAGCGGTATTGAAATCGAATAGTTCGTACTCAAAGGGTAGGAAAAGTTACAATAGATCAGATTCAATGAAATCCACAAAAATCGTCTTGAAATTTAGGAATATTTGAAAAACCGTATTTTAAGGGTATGTATAGCACTAGAATATGCAAAATGACACATTGTTGTTGAACATTAAACAAGTTAAAAAGTCGATATTGCCGACAGAGGCAGTTCGGAAACATATTAGCCTAGCACAGAAAGCGCGATATAAACCGAAAAAAGTTAAGTGTCTTGGAAACTTTCATCTCTAAATTTTGATAAATTTGTTTCGATCTGGCAATTCCTCCATATAGGAACAGGTATTCAAAAAAGACACATCCGTAATTTTTTTACAATGGAAAAATTAAAAATGCCTGCTGTCATTAAATGTTTTCATAACAAGTAAAAAAGTATGGGCCGGTTTTGCCGACAGATGTATACCCTTAGCCAATGTTCGATTATTTAAAAATATTTTGACTTCTATTATGATTATTCAAACTCTTGACCCTCTATGGAGTGGGTTTTCAAAGAATGGGCCAATTTTGTCAATTTCGTACCTAAATAAATATGATATAAATATTGCGACGTGCCAGGTTTGGACTATATTGGTTACTTCCTTCACTTTGTATATGATCTGTGACTATCTATTTTAGAAACTGTTTAAACGTGCGTGAGGTACCAGATATAGTCGACCGAAGTATTCAATTTTCATACTTCATCTAAAAGAGAGAAAAATACATGTATGGGCAAAATTACTATTAAATCTAACATTTATATCCAATTTATGAGAAATCATAAATTCCAAATTCGCCTCAGGTTTCTGGTTGAGAAGTTTTTATGGGTGAGGAACCAGAAGGGGTTCGAAGATTGATATATATCTCCACAACAGATCTTGTGTTAGCAAAAATGTTTGCAAGTGCGAAATTTGAAGAGAGTTGGATGCTGGTATGTGTAGGTACCAGAAGAAATGGTCTGATATCTACCGTCTTTATAACAGATCCAGTGTTGATAGAAATATTCATATGTGCCATGTCTTATTTGAAATGGAATGTTAATTTCGTGTTTATGAGCTTAATGAGTATTCAAAATTTCGACCTTTTAGAGGAAAGATACCAGAAGGAGTTATATATTATATATTATTATAAGAGTTATAATTATTCAAAATGTTGTCTCTTTGTGGGGGAGACACTTAATGGAGTAGACCGATATTGTCCCCTTTCGCACCTAATCTAGCACAGACGCAAATATTAGGATTTGTAAAGTTGGTGCAAAATATAATTATTTTTTCTTTCTGTGCAGAGACATATTTATTGAAAATTTCGAACTTTTTTTGGGGAGGTACCAGAAGAAGTGGACCCATATTGCCCATCTCCGAATTCAATCTAAGTTTGACAAAAATATTACGATGTACCAAGTTTGGACCAAATCGAATACTCCCTTCGAGAGTTATCGTGCGCACCAGCCAGACAGACGGACATCGCTAGATCGATTCCAAATGTACTGAAACGGAATTGGTCCAAACAGAACTAGGGTCTAAAACCGTTATTTCGAAGAGGCACGTTTTGGCCGTATGAAATGATATATACCTATAACTATATATTAGTTATAATTAGTTGATTCAATTTTAAAACTACTAAAAATAAAATTTTTTGTAATTTTTCCTTCTATAAATCTAAAAGTTTCATTTGATTTGCAAAAAGTTTCATTTCGGTTGCAAAAGGTTTTATTTCGGTTGCAAAAGGTTTCATTTCCACTGCAAAAAGTTTCATTTCAATTGCAAAATTCATTTAATCTGAAAATGCTATATATAGTTTTGTAGAATATTTTGTCTTGTTACGATCCCAACTAAAGGGACCCCTTATTAGGTTATTCGACCAAAATAACCTTCGTACTGTTATCAGTAGTACTGTCGAACACAGTTTATAATGTATATTTATAAAATGTAAAAATCCAAGGAATATAATTCCTAAAATTTCAAAAAAAATTGAAGAGGGGTATCTGACATTCTTAATTTAGGTTACTTTTTGTAGACTTTTAAAACGCTGACAAACAAGTCTTCTATTTTAAGCTCTACTTTCATAATCTACTGAGTTTTTCCTGTCATTATGACATAACCCATAAATTGTCCCCTAATATCGAGGTGCTTGTACATCAACAACTCACCGAAGTCTATTAAATTGATCTTTATTTGACTACGCTAAGTTTGCATAGTCGAGGTTGACATTACTCATTACCTGGTAAAGAAAAAAAAAATAAATATATCACGTCATATAAACATTCAAAACGCCGATAGACTTGTCTCAAATTTTCCCATAAAAAAAAAACTGGAAAATAGATTTTTTGTCGTGTTATTGAACCTACACAAACCGCCTATACTTGGATACCTTGGGAATTTGATCAATAATTTAGAGAGTGCATATCGGAAAATCCCTGTTTCAAAATGTGAAAAATGACGTATGTGACACCGATTAAAAAACTTAGCAAACATTTTCCTTTTACCCCTGTTAAATATCACTTTTCCTAAATTTCTCATACCATCCTCGTAAATGCTAATAATGCTGCTAATCATATATTTTTTCTGCCCTCTCTTCGTTGATGTGTAAAGGAAAGCGAATAATATTTTTTAATATTTAAACATGAACTCATCTGCATAAATGTGGTGATGACTTATTAGTGTTTTGAAAATATTATGGCAAATGAGATTTCGCTTTTTTTTCATCATGTCCATATGTTTGGCTGTCAGCTCACAGATGTTGATATCAGTAAGTTCTTTACGTTGCGTAAGTGGTGCTACGGCCTGGAGTTCCAATTAAAAAAAAAACTTTGCCTATGCAGTGACATTTCGGTTTCCATTTTCATTTTTGGAAAAATACTACAGCTACTGAAATTGTGAGAATACCTTCTTCC